TATACGTACCCCTTTTCTCCTAAAGACAAACCCATCTTATCGCAGATGCACTCCAATTGGAGTGAAAATAGTGATATTGCAACATAATTTTGCAATGATCGTATTCGTCAAAATTTTGTAACAAGTTTTGCCATATTTTTGCAATAATAAATGCAATGTTGCACTTTTCTAACATATTTATTGCTAATTAACTACAAAAGTTTAAGTTGCAATTTTTCATCACAAATTAGCAATATTTTTACGACATATAAAAAAGTCTTGCAAAATTTGTAAGAAATATTCAACGATTATAAACCGTGGCTATTTTTCAACAAAATTATAGTAAATATATGTGACAAATTATGTGACAATTTTGCCATAGTATTTACAACATTTATTACTCTATTGCAATATAAACGATATATATAATACCATTGACTATATACTTTAATTACTGGTTTTGGTTTATTTTGATTACTTCACAAGTTTGTCACTATATACTTTCTAATATAGTAGTTTTGTTTTCAATCTCCCTCTTTTTAAACAAACAAGACCATTGAGTAGAGACGTACGTCCCACAGAGTTAGACTCGAGAGACGATTCTTTGAAAGAAATATTAAAGTTACATGTGGTCTACTTTTTTTAATGATACAGATGACTTAAGCTAAAACTCACGAAACGTATTCAAATCCTAACACAACTATTCCACAAACTATGGTAATCCTAAGCCTAAGATTCAAAAAAAAAAAGGAATTCGATTCTAGGCTCGAGATATGAGCCGATTACTCTCTTAGATTCAAATAGCCATATGGGACAATCAGAATAAATTACTACTTCACAAAATTATATATATATATATATATATATATATATATGTATGTATGCATTTATATATTGTAACGCCCGTGTCTGGAAATCCGGGTGGTGTCGATCGACACTGTGGTCGGGTGTCGATCGACACTAGTAATTTTTGGTTTGACGGTTTAAGTTTTTAAATCGTCGGTTCAATGGAGGCTTGGTTTGGGTTGGTTAACCCTAGGTCGTGCTTAAAAGAGGGAAGGTCGTGTGTTGTCTCTTCCCAGCCGTTTTTTAACACTTCCAGAGATAGAAAAAAAAGGTTCTAGAGCTTCTGAGGGTTTTTGTGAGTCTTTGGTGGTGCTTGGTGGTGTTCTTGGTGGTTTAAGGCTAGTAGAGGCTAGATCAGTGTTGTGTGGTGTTAGAGGAGACAGATCCTTCCTTGTTCTTCCTTGTTTTCGTTGCTGTTCTTCTTGTTAAAGAGGTGAGTGCATGACCAGGCTTATCTAAGCATGTTTGATCATTGTTTTAGGGTTTTGATGATTGTTTGATTGATTTCCTTTGCTTGTTTGGCTGTTTATTTGATGATTGATGCCTGTGGAATCCTTTGGAGACTCGTTCTTATCGTGGTGGTCTTTTGGAGAAGAGATCCAGTGAGAAACGCAGTTGGAGCGTCTGCAGAGAGT